CATCACTCTATCCACTACACCACACTGTCTTGCTATACTACCTTGGCTCACTGCTTTTTTTTACAATGAATTTTTTTTTAAAAGGCATATCATCCTTCTAAGAGTATTCAAAGTGTACTTCTCAAAATCAAGGCACACCCTCCCTTCCTATCATATGCCTTGTTTAAATATATGTGGTGATTTTGCAAAACTAACCGTGTGGGAGGCATGCGGTCCCCAGTAAATTTCATGTGTGTATCACAATATTGATCTGTAGATTTCAGAAGTTGTCCACTCTTGAACTGGAACAATAGATACTGACTGAGCACTGCAGAATGGATGCTGAGCACCACCACCCAGTGCACAATTGCATCCAAATTAGCTGCATGAAGTCTGTTAGTCTTTAAGGTAACACGGTATTTCTATTTTCCTATTCCAGTGTTAGGGATAGCACTTTGCTCTGCTCTGCTTTGGAAGGGAGAAGTTGCCAGTGCTATAGTGAAAAGAAGAAAATGACAAGACCTGATTCCTAAGCAAAAAGCTGCTTGTGGTAATTGGAATCCAAACCTATGCACCTATGGTAGATGCATGTAGAGCTGCTCCTCCTTGAAGTTAATATGACCATCTGTGGCTATTAATCATGGTGACATGGTCTTCAAAGGCTGATGAGCAGTAAGAGCAGAGGTGGCTTGCATTCATGTGCTGCTTGAAGGATCCCAAAGGGTTCTCTTTGGCCAATGTGGGAAACGAATGAATAATATAGACTGTCATTCTGACTGAGAGCAGCTCTTAGCTTTCATGTGGATCTCACTAGAAGCATGCACACCAGTTGTTGCCAATAACTGTCAGCATTTGCTTCAATGTCTCCTGAAGACAGCTTGCAATTTCTGAATTCGGATGATTCTTTCTAAGTAATAAGTAGTAGTTTCAGACAAAATAGGTAGGATGTGGCATGCTAAAGCCAGTTTGAATAAGTAGGCCTTGGGAGAAGTACAGTTTGAATCAGATTAAGACCTGGGACTGAACTCGTTCAAGACTGGGGCCTCAGACGATTCCAGGTAACAATCAGGTAATTACACCTCAGATTTTATAATTTACACAAAAATGTGTGCATCTGTTTTCAGCAAGACCTGTTCTATGTTGATATTCATCAAAAAGATACTGAATGGCTTGTGGGGGGGAGTGCTTTGCAAATAAAAGGACAGAAAATATTACTAATAAAAGTACATTACAAATGGAAAGCAGAACCATTGACTAAGCTGTAACAAATTCTAGCTATTTGCCTTGAAATGCAACCTGTTTTATTATGGCTTTTATGTCAAGTTGTTGAAGCCAGTGGAAGCTCATATCTTGGCAACTGGGTTAATTATAAAGTGCCACTGCACTCCATTCTCCCCACCATCATAAGGAGACCCGGAGGCTGTTTTACAGGAAAGTACATAAAGTCTGTGCCAAAGACCACAGTTGGTCTTAAGCCCTGAAGAAGTTTTAGCCCTGAAGAAGCTGTGGTGGTTGTGCATTCTCATCTGCATTTGGTGTGAGCTGCCCTTTGAACTTTCTGATCCCGCCTTCGGTTGAATCTTTTCATGTAACTACTGCCCATCCAAAGCAGCCCATCTCCTGGCCTCAGGCGCCCTCTCACCTGTTCTTGCAGAATGGTCGGTAGTTGCCACCGCCTGTGGTAGATTTGACCCATCACAATGTATCTGCTCCCTGCAAAACAACAAGTCCCAACCTTAGTGAGTGCCTTTGCCTCCCATTCTGAGTCAGTTCCACAGCAGTCGTTGCAGCTGTGGCAAATCGGATGCAATACATAGATGTGGATCTCTGTGCCTTCATTATGCTGAAATGAAGCACAGGTTCCATGCTAGCCCTTTGCTGTTGAGTCAGGCACATGGCATATACCTGGGAGGCCTTTTGGTGCAGATTATGGCATTGACCCATCAACCAACCCTCTGGCAATCCTCTGCCAGTCTAGCCATGGGGGTCCCATGATAATGGCACTCCTGTTTACCTTAATCATCCTGGCTGTGTTACTAAATTGTATTCACTGCAAATAATCATTCAAGGTAGTGGACTGTACCTAACGCTACACCTGCCATTCTCTCTTCATTGCACAATTATATCTGCCACCTTGCACAGAGAGTTGGAGCATCAGAAACTTGCAGTTGCAAATGTGATCTAAATATATTCAGGACGTAGTTCTTCAGGCACTCTGTCCACCCAATCTAGTTCCTTAAATCTGTTCTTCACTTCCACTGTGTATTCATAAGGGATTTGGTTTAGATTATACCTGACTAGCCCAGTGGCTTTTCGTTCTTTCTTCGGTTTAAGCTTGAGTTTTCCTATAAGAAGCTGATGATCAGAGCCACAATCAGATGCAGAGACCACAATCAATCTGATTTTGGTATTGCCTATTTGGTGATGTGCAGAGTTGCCTCTGTTGTTGTTGGAAAAGAGTGTTTGTGGTGATCAGTTCTCCTGACAAAACTCTATTAGCCTTTGTCCTGTTTCGTTTTGAACTCCAATGCCAAACTTATCTGTTGTTCCTTTTATCTCTTGACTCCCTACTTTAGCATTGCATTCCCCTATAATGAGAAGAATATCTTTCTTTGGTGTCAGTTCTAGAAATTGTTGTAAGTCTTCATAGAAATGGTCAATTTCAGCCTCTTCAGCATAGGTGGTTGGTGCATAAACTTGGATGTTGAAATGTCTGCTTTGGATTCATATTGAAATCATTCTATCATTTTTGAGATTGTATCCCAATAAAGCTTTTCCCACTCTTTTGTTGACTATGAGGACTACTCCATTTCTTCTACAGGATTCTTGCCCACAATAGTAGATATGATAATCATCTGAATTGAATTCACCCATTCCTGTCCATTTTAGTTCACTGATGCCCAGGGATGTCAATGTTTGTTCTTGCCATCTCCTGTTTGACCACATCCACTTTACTAATGTTCATAGATCTTACATTCCAGGTTCCTATGCAATATTTTTCTTTACACTCTAGGTGGTTTACAAGATAATACAACAACAGTAAAAAAACCCACACATAATGATAATACAAAAATCAAAATCAAAAAACAAAATTGCAATATACAGTCACAAACAACCAAAACAACTTCATCAACAACATAAACACCATTAATTTAACAGGCAAGATGGTGGAACAAAAATAAACGCTGATACTGCTGCTGCCTTATCATGATGTAATCTCTGGAAAAGCCTGTCTGAAAAGCCATGTCTTGAGGGATAGTTTGAAGGTCCCCAGGGCCAGGTGAATTTCAGGTGGGAGTCTGTTCCAGAGGTTGGGGGTGACCACAAAGAAGGCTCACTTTCTAGTCTTCTCTTTCCAGGCCTCTTTCAGGGTCAATAATCTCAACTGCCCTGCCTGGAAAGATAGAGTAGACTGGGCAGATCTCATCAGAAGGAGGCGTTCTGTCATGCATTGAGCTCCCAAACTGTTTAGAACTTTGTATGTGAAGCTCATCATCTTGAAGCTGGCATGGAAACTGACAAGTAGTATAGGGGAGATATGTTGGTATTTCTTCATTCCACTTAACAATCTGCCTGCCATATTCTAAATCTGCTGGAGTTTCTGTAGCAGCCTCATGAGTAGCCCCACGTGAAGAGCATTACAGTAGTCTAATCTCAAGACTACCAGTGCATGGACCAGGGTCAAGGTAGGGACACAGCTGGGCGATGCATCTGAGAGAGAAAAAGGCTGCACAGACAACAGCTGCTACCTGGGACTCCATTGATAGTGCTGGGTCCAAAGGTACGCCCAGACTGTGAACCTCAACCTTAGAAGAGAGATCAGCCCCACCAAATCAATCTGGGCCCCTCAAACCACAGACACTAGGGGCACCCACCGGCAGGACTTCCATCTTGTCCCAGTTCAGCCTCAGTCTATTATCCCTCATTCAGCCCAGAACAGCATCCAGGCAGCACTCAAGGGATGGGACAGCATCCTCTGCAGAAGGAAGAAAGGAGCAATAGAATAGAGGTTAAAAAGGCACATTCTTTGGATTTTCCATGGGACAAAAATTACATTAGATAATATATTAATATATTAATACATTAGATTTTCCATGCCATGAACCCTCTAGGCTCATGGCATGGATAATCAGTAGGTATGCCTACTTTTCATAAGCAGAAAGGAGATTTTTAAAAAATCAGTCTAAGATTGCCTTGGGTGATTGTACTGTTTGAACCAAGGTGGAAATAATAACTGATCAAGTACTGTCATGTGATCTTATCACACTTGCATAAATAAGACCTGTATGCTTCAGGGTGGTTGATCTGGGTGAAAGATTACCGCTTTCTACCAAAACAGTTTGATATTTTTGAGAAATCCATCATTCATGGGATATGAAAAATGCAAGGATTGCTTTAAGATCGTATTTTGTATTTTATAAGCTGCTGTGGGTCCACAGTGGAAAAATGTGAGATATAAATAAATAACTCAGCTTATGAAGTTTTTAAATCCATCACATTTCTCAAGGTATTTATTTTTGGCTATCACAAGTTATAATCTTAACATTCTGTAGCACTGCAGTGCGTTGCTGGTGGAACTGTACATGTTGCAGTGCATTAGGACTTGTACATGTTGCTTGGCAGTTATTTAGATTGCAGTTCCCTTAGCTGTGCTCAGAGGATGAAAATGAAATACGACATAGGGAGGAACACTCCAGAATATGGATCCTATTGTGAATTGATACCCTCCTAAATCCAACTATGTAAATTGTGGCACAAGAAGCAAATTGCCACTAACTAAAGAATTGCAGTTCACATGGCAACTGACACACAACTAGAAATGTGAGCAGCAACTTCTTCATTAGCGGCAATTTACAACCTCAATTTACCCAGTGACACTTCTGCTAGCATAAATTCAGCACAGGATTCTGGCCATTGAGACTTCCAAGATATTTGTCAATTTCCGAGTGGCCATGGTGGATACCAAATCATGCCAAATCAGAATACAGTTTGCAGAAACCATGGTTTTCCTCTCATTGCAGGAAGCCGATGAAGCTTTGCTGCAGAATTTGGAACTACAGATTGATGTGCAGTTCCTGCAAGACGATGTTAATGCCACGAAGGAAAGATACAAGAAGGTAATGGTTGGCAACCAACTGGTGTTCTTGGTTTCATTCAGAATTTATTGCTAGAAGAACTTACTTATACAGGAAGTGGAGGCAGCTGAGACAATTTGCCCTTGACATCTGTGTCAGTAGTGACTTCCAGCAGAAGAATCAAATGCTACCTCCTGATTTCTTCCCCTTCAATTTAGACTTACTTCAAAGGCACATTAAAAGGCTGGGTGGGAAACAAGGGAGAAATGCAAGGCCCAAATTATCCCTCTAGTCTTTGATGCCACAATCCTGTAGCCATTTTATAGGCACTCTTCCAACAAATGATGATTGTGATAATGATGCTGCTGCTGGTTCATTCAACTTACACACCCCCTTTCCACTACAACATAATGCTTAGGGCAGCTTATAGACATAAAATATAATTCAGAGCAACAGTAGAATAAGTTCAATCATAAAAATGAAATCAAAACAAACATATGGTTTTAAATCCTTGGAATATACCAATGGTAAGCTGTTAGGATGATCTCAGTGAAACCCTATCAGAAGCCTGTTTGAAAAGATGTCCCATCACACTCTTCCTGAAAGTGGTGAGAGTAGAAAATGTTTGCTCTGAGCGAGAGCATTCCAGTGTCTGGAGGCCATGTAGAAGAAAGCCCTTTTCTGTGTACCCTGTCAAGTGGACCTCTGCAGCTGTTGGTATTTAAAAAAAAATGTTTGCCTGAAGTCTTAACTTCTGAACAGGTTCAAAATAAAATAGCTGAATCCTTTAATAGACATAAGATTAAAACCTGCACCTTGAATTGGGCCTGGTAAGCAATTAGCAACCACAGCAGATATTTCAGTATCTGGACCATGTCACCATGTTACCATGAACCAGTTGGATGCCCAGCAGCCACATATTGCCCCAAAATATTTCAGTATCTGGACCATGTCACCATGAACCAGTTGGATGCCCAGCAGCTACATATTGCCCCAAATGCTAACACCTGGAGGGGGCCCAAAGGGATATCCCAGGAGGCGTTGCCTTTGCCAACCTCCCGGATGCCACGCGAGGCTACAAGGCTTGCCCGAGATCAGCCAAGGGGCGTGGGTGAGCAGGGCATATTTAAGTGGGCAGCCACGTTGGTGGCTCCTCTTTCGTTGTTGTGAGCAGCGTAGCGGAGCCTGCTACCCCTGTCTCGGGCACCCGGCGCCACATGGGTGGCTGCAGCCAGATGGGAGCAGCGGGCATAAGAAAAGGGGCAAGGAGGGAGTGTGGCGCGGCGCAGGACGGCAACATCTCTGGGGACGAGCAATGGACTGGGGGCGGCATCGGCTCCCCCCCCCTGCAGTGGGAAAAGTGCTCACCGGCTCCCAGCCCTCTCCTTCTTACCCCCCTCCTCCCTGTAACAGGGAGAAAGGCAGTTAGGGCCTGGGCGAGGACAGCGCTTACTTGCGGCAGGGGGGCGGATTTACAGGCCATGGACGATTCGGCGGCCGGGCGGCGCTTCTCGGCAGGTTCTCCTCCCCAAATGGAAGATCTTGACCCTCTTCAAGGCAGCCCCCATGAAAAAAAACATTACAGTGGCCTAGACACAAGGTCAATAGCTAGCTGATGAAGCAAATTTGGTAATCTGTGTCACCACTGCCACCTGAAACCCTCAAAGCAGGTGCATATTTCAAGAAGTATTCCCAGATTTCAGATAGGACTTGACATGAGGAGTACAATCCCTTCTAGAATAGGCTGAATCCCCCACGTTTAAGAAGCCATTTCAGCAAGAAGTGCTTTTCTCCTTTGTTAAAAGCTGTATATCCTCAGGCACCTCATCAGAGCTTGCAGAAGGTTTTGGACTACAGTCCAAAACATGTAACTAGAATGCTCAACATTACGGTAATATTAAAGGGTAAAGAAGGGAAAAGAAAAGAAAAAAATAGTCCTTTAAAAACTGATGTATTTGTTTCAGACTTAGCTTTTGTAGATGAAAATCCCTTCTCTATTCATAAATAATCAATATCATATATACCATAGGTGTGTTGGGTCAGCGGTTGGAGAAGGGTAATGCCTTTTATTAATCCCACTTAAGTATCACAAAGTCCAGCAAAAGTTCCACTGTGCCATAATGAGGAACTGAACTACTTCAAATCACTAAGTACTAGAGATTGACTTCATTTCACTCTTGGTGTCTCTAGATCTATTTACGCCTTTAGCTTCACTGATACAGGGGACTGCCGTGTTGCCCCCATACCTCTGTCTGTTATGACCCAGCGCAAGAGCCTGTAAGCTTCAAAAAAAGTCATGCGATGTTCTCTAGATGTTCAAGATGGAGAAAACCCATTAATAGTACAGCTCCTATAAAACTGAAAGCTGATACTTTAACATCTCATCTGTTCATTGCAGAATCCATCTTCCAGCTGCAGAGAGGCACAGTGGCCAATCCATTATGCCAAATATTTGGACACAATGTTTTCCTCAATTTCCTAATGTTTGTACCAGCATGCCTGCCTAGAAGTCATACAGAACCTCACATCTTGTACCACTTACCACTTGTGGGCTGCTTTTGCTAGTGGACATCATCATCATCACCATCATCATAACCTATCCTTGAGAGAAAAATAGAGATTTTACTTATGGATTATGAGATAACACCTTTTAAAAAATGTCATCCTACTGATGACTTAATTTCCTTATTTATATTCATTGAAAGTGCTGTTACTTCTGGCCAGGATCACTGTCTTATATTCTATCATGTAAAAGCCAGAAGCAGGAGAGATAATTTTACAGAAGTGTAAGTTAGTTTAATTGAAGTCCCTGCTGACCATTTTAAACATGAATTATTTTATTTGGCTGCAGAATCTCATGGAAATACAGACGTATGTCAGCATTTTGCAACAGATCATGCAAGTGACTCCTCGAGTGTCCAACATCACAGCTGGAGTTAGTGAGGTAAGAATTTTTCTTTTAAGAAATCATGTTTTTGTCATGACAACCAAAACATTCCAAAGGGTGGCATTTTCAAGTAGCTTTGGAATACAAAAGAAACAGTAAATAAGCTTCAGCAGAGTTTTATAGGATGACACCCATATTCATCGCCTTCTGGTTGTTCTTATGGGAACACCCTAGGGTAGCACTGTGTAGGATGAACTGTTGTAGTTCAACAGAAGGAAATCGGAGGGACCTCTTCTTTTTTGTGTCATGTTGATTCAAATATACTAGATCACATGTCTAAGACATCCCATAGAACAAACTGATTGATACACTTCAGGCATGATGAGACTACAACTCCCAGAAGCCTTCACCACCACCTCTGCTGGTCAGGATTTCTGGGAGCTGAAGTCCAAGAACATCTGGAGGCCCAAGGTTGGGGAACACTGCCGTAGAACAAACTGACTGATACCCTTCTGGCATGATAATGACCAAGTGGGGGCTCTTCCAAGAGTGACAAGAGCGCATATTTTTTTTCTGAATTCTCATCTGGTAGCCCTGACTCAATCATACATCCTTGATGTTTATTCCTAGCATTCTGTATGTGTGTCTAACACACATACAGAATACGTCTAACCCAGCCTTCCCCAAATTTATGGTTGGGGAAGGTTGGTCTACTGATGCAGGAAATGCCACTGACCCAAGAAACAAAAGGACCTCCAGATGGCAGGGCAGATGGCTACAGAACATCTGCTATGCCACCTTAGGGCCTCAGATTTGCTAGGCAATCCCTGGGCAATTGCTTGCACAAATATTAGGAACCTAGGAAGGTGACCTTGCTTTGTCAGGCCCTTGATCCAATTAGCTTTCTATTGTGTACACAGACTGGTAGTAGCCATTCACAGCTTCAGGATGGAGTTTTCTATCCCACCTTGGAGATGCTGGAAATGGTAAGTGGCACCTTCTCCATGCAACATATGTCTTCTCCCATTGAGCTACAGACCTTCCCTTCAGTTATTTGCAGGAAACTGCTCACATATCAGTACTCCTGTTCAAAGTAGTACATTTCTCATTTGAGATGGACAGGGAGGATGGCCTTACCTTTCCCTGGACTTTGGAAAAGTGGGTGGGGGATTTTGGGAGTCATAGTCCAATAGAGTAACTCACAAGCTCTGCCCTTTCCCAAGATAAGGCTGTTTTGGTTGGGAGAGGAAGTGCGTGTAGGAGAGGCCTTAAATCAGTAGCAAAAGCTGAGATCTTCAACTGATTGTTAATTCTCAGTCCCTCAAAAGCCTGCCAAGGTTTTCCAAGGAATTAATATGAAGATTAGGACCTGTCAGTTTGTTTTGTATGGTTCTCATATGGTTGGAGCAAGATTCTTGACTGCTTGTGCCAAGTTAACAAGGCCCACCTCATAGTTTGATAAGCACAGTGGAAGAGCCATAGTAGCTCAGGAACAGAGTTCATTCCCAGCATCTCTCAGTATTTCAAGGATCTCTAGTAGCAGGGCTCTCTGAAGAAGACGTTAGTCTCTACTAGTCAAAGTAGGCAATACGGGGCTAGTGTTCTAATGTTGTTTAAGGCGGAATTTGGAAAAGTTACTTTTGTTGAAGATATAACATGAAGAAAAATGGAACATTTCAATTCTCTGACTTAAGACAAGTTTACATGTTGAAGAAAAGCAGTCCGTGGAATTGAAATCCTGTGCACATTTCCTGTTTGTACATGAAAGTATTTCAATTGTCTTTAATTGTTCACCATCTCACCCAAATGTATTTCTTCTCTGTTCAAGTGAAATGTATGAAGCAGCAGGGTTTCTATAGCACTCCTGCTGGAAACCCTTGAAGCAGGCAAAGAAGAAAATTGGTCATGTGAAGATCATTTCGTGGAACTATTTTCAACATAAAATTGCATTTCTAATGTTACTCGTACACAATTGGTTCTTCATAATCTGCCCCTCTTTCTACATTGCTCTTAGGAGAAGCTCGTCACTGAGAGGAAAATACCAATTCTTCAGAGCCAGTTAGAAGAATACAAGAGCATTCTTTGCCAGCTCCAGGCTCAGAAAGTTAAACTGCAGACTGAGGTACCTTCTTCAGAAACACTTGAGATGACTATAGAGAGCTACATCAGTTTGTATGCCAGCAGTCTAGGGCTGTAACATTTTGAACATAGTGTTTAATGTATTTATTTACCTATTTGAAACATTTTATCTTGTTCTTCAGTTGATGAGACCACTGGTAATTTATTATTTTCAATGATAGATTGTTCAGATATATATATATATAAACCATGAATAAGAAAGAAAACTGGTAACAAAAACTAGGTGTTTTTCTTTCTTTCTTTCTTTCTTTCTTTCTTTCTTTCTTTCTTTCTTTCTTTCTTTCTTTCTTTCTTTCTTTCTTTCTTTCTT